TTCCCCAAAGCTTCCAGACTAAGACCAGACTGCAAAGAAGAAAAAGGTTGCCCACTTTGAGGAAATTAGGCATTTTAAGCCTGATGGGTAGCATTGTCAGATACGGAAAGTCTAATGAGTAGAAACAGAACATTGTCAGAGAGAATGCCAGAAGATAAGTAGCTTGGGTCAGAAAGCACTCAAAATGTGACTGAGGAAGAGCTGCCTAAGCTGCCTTTTCAAAGGAGCCTAACATGAATGAAAGGAGTAAATCCTGTATGAGGAAACCCTTCAGGGCCTTCGATTACTGATGGGGCACAACTCAAAATGAGAACAAGCAGCTGTAAACATTTAATGAGAACTTGGAATGTATGAAGTGTGAATCTAGGAAAATTGGAAGTCACCAATATGAAATGGAATGCGTAGAGATTTACATCATAGGCATTAGCTGAAATGGACTGCTGCAGGCCATTTTGAACCAGAAAATAGTAAACTGCTGGGAATGACACACAATCAAAAGGAATGGTACTGCACTCATCCTTGAAAAGGCCATTTTAAGATGTATCTTAAAAAGTACGCTATCTGATAGGGTTGTATCTAGCTTTGAGAAAATCCAACACTTGGTCAAATTTATGCACCAACCTCTAAAGCTAGTGAGCAAGAAATTAAAAGAATGGTACCAATATTTTCCAACTGAAATTGATCAAACATGCAATCAAGATGGATTGATAATTATTGGCGATTGGAAAGAAAAAGTTGGGGGAGAAAGGAAGGAATGGTAGTTGGAAAATATCTAGGTGATAAAAATCTCAAGATCACGTGATAGAATTTTGCAAGACCAATGACTTGTTCATTGCAAATACTTTTTGCTCAACACCACCAATGCCAATTATGCAAATAAATGTCTCCAAAAAGATGGATTTCTCCAGAAAGAGTATGTAGAAATCAAATTTCTACATCTGTGGAAAGAGAAAATGGAGAAGCTCAATATCAGCAGTTAACACCAGGCCAGGGGCTAGCTATGGAACAGACCACCAGTTGTCCTTATGAAAGTTCAGGCTGAAGCTGAAGAGAAACCATGACCACAAGAGCCA